CAACAACAAATAGTGCACCAAAAAGTTTGCTGTCCAACAGATGTCACTCCTTTTTTTTTTGAATCTATCGTATGCATGCATGTATATATGTACATACATACGATACATTCATACATGCATATGAAACACACACCACAGATGTACATGCATAATTAGTTTTTGTGCTAAGATTAGACTTTGGTAAATTTTTTATTAAGTTGACTAAAATGTAAATATCGATTGATTTTATATATTATATATATATAATTTTTATTTCTTTAAAATCAGGTTCAGTGAATGGTTGGAAAGTCGAACGTAGATGTTGACGCTAAATAAGATTCTGCGTTAGAAGCGGAAAAGCCGCGGCCAACGCCTGTGCTCTTCACTGCTTCTAGTCTCTCATAGATGGGACATAATATTACGTATGTGGTGACAAATAAACTCGCCAATCAACATCAATATATACATACATATGTATATATATATTATAATTCATTCGTTTCATATTGAATCCTAATTTTTACTTTATTTTATATAAATAATTATCATTTGTCATATATTTGTAAATGTATGAGAGAGAAGACACTGCTAATAAACTATGAACTGTATAAAATGGAGCGCTATGCTTCACATTGTGATTCCAATTAGGGGTGTAGATGAGTTGAGTTGAGGTCGAGCCGCCCTTGACTTGAGCTAGAGCTTGATTAATTTTATTGAGTTCAAGCTGGAGCTGAAGCTTAAGTTAACGAGTTCGAACAGACTCACGGTTGGTTTGTTCATTATAAAAGAAAGAAAATGATATTAATTTAAAATAGTGTTATGATAAAATAACAAATAAAATAAACAATTATTAAAGAAATAATAAGAAATCATTTAACATAAATATAAAATATTAATTTTTCTAAAATTTTTTATTACTTTAAAGATAAAGTCTCCATATTTAATGTATTTTGAATATATTTTATATTAATGTTTTTTAAATGAGCCCGCTCGCGAGCTAATGAGTCAAGTCAGGGCTAACTTGAGCTTGGCTTAATTTACGAGCCACTTCTTAAGTCGAGCTTGAGCCGACTCACGAGTCGGCCTGTCTCACTTACACCAATAATTCCAACTATCTTAGATGATTAAAATGGTGAAGAGTAATGTTGTAATCAAGTCGGGTCGAGCTTTTCCTGGATCCCACTTTAATTTGTTAAATTATAAATTGTTCATGGTTAGTTGGAACTTGAGCCAAATTTTCGCATTCATGCTTCTAATTTTCTAATATTTGTATTTAATTTTTCATATAAAATTTAATTTTTTTAAAATTTTCACATAAAATGAATAAACAAGTTAAAATAAAAATGAGTGTTTGATTTTTTTTAATAAAAGTATTAATAAATACTTTTATAGATTTGAATTTAAAAAATTATAAATACATCTAATTAATTTATATTAAAAATTTGAATAAATATAATTAAATAACATAAATAAGTTATGCTTATATCTTCAATTTCAATTTGCTTTCCAGTCCAGTGGTCACCATATTGGAAGCCAAGCCTTTACTTTTTGGTGCATATAGCCTTTTGCGTGCCATTATGGACTCATTTATTATGACTTTTATGTATGTTAAGCTGTGTACACGACCTTTTGACAAAAAGGCTGGCAATAGTACAAATGGTGGTAAGCAGAGAGAGAGATAGACTTCAGCGCATGGTTTAAATGGAAAATATGCAAAGGAAATCTAAGAACTAGAAAGAAGATGAGATGCTGGTCTAAGAGCATGCTCAAAATTCATTAAAATATTTTAGAAAATCATTTTATTTAACTCATTTGAAATTTTTGTGTTTTAATTATATATATATAAATAAA